GAATTGGCACTCCTCTTGGACCACTGAAACTGAATTTGCATGTCTTGAGTGAGCTGAAAAATTTTCTTTTTTTCATTCGAGAACTTCCATAAACTAGCCTCTTCCTTCTGCAGCCAGTTAATAGCCAGTTTAGAATCACCCTCCACCAACAGCTTCCTAATATTCAGTTGTTTGGCTCCTTTAATTCCTTCTAATATTGCTGAAATTTCAACTCTCAGAGAATCCCCCAGCCTATAGGCCTTGAAAACATAGTCATAATTCGACTTTCTTCATCCCTGAACACTCCTCCAATACCTGAATGGCCTGGGCTCCCTTCACTGCTACCATCAAAATTCAATTTAGTGAACCCCATAATTGGAGGAGACCAAGTTGGAAYAGTAGCATTAAACAGCCGAGTAGACCAGGCAACTTCTTTCCAATTTCTAATGATGTCTCCTGCTGAGATACCTTCAAAAAGCTCCGTAGACTTGACCCGATGAATCACCCTAATGTAGATTAAATCAATGATGGCTTCTTTGTTCCTTTTTTCCTGGAAGGTTCGTTGATTTCTTTCCTCCCACACTGACCTACATACAGCTGCTCTTACACATCTCCACAAGATCTTACCTCTCTTTTTTAAACCCCTCACTGGAACAGAGTTAAACAAGCTTAGTACACTTGTGGGAGTGGGCCACTTACAACCAAAAAAAGAGAAAAACCAACACCAGATTTCTGAAACAAAAGGACAGGAAACAAATAAGTGATAACAGCTCTCACCATTCCTCTTACATAAGATACACCAGTACGGGGATAAACACCATCTTGGCCTTTTCTTTTAAAGTAAGTCACAAGTGTTAAACTTTCCTAGGATAGCTTCGCAGCATAAAGCACCTACTCTGGGAGGAATTAGTCTACCCCAAATTTCCGGAGCCGGGAAAGGAAGATCAAGGGCCGAATGGGAATGGGTTAATTCCTTGAAGAAGGAAGAGCATGAAAAAATACCCGAAGGAGTAGGAGCCCAAATCCTACTATCCAATCTAGAGGGGTCAACAACTACCTCCTCCAAAATCTTAATCAAATTAGAAATGGAATCCAATTCAGAGTCTCTAAGAGGCCTCCGGAAGCCCAAGTTCCAAACAGGGCCAGAAGTAGAATAGGTTAGGAAAGTAGCAACAGGCTCATTTTTAAACCTTGAGAGAGAGAACAAAGAAGGAAACTGCTCTTTCAAAGGTGAGTTACCCACCCAGATGTGTTTCCAAAATCTTACAGAATTACCAGAGCAAAGGTCATACTTGATAAAAGGAAGGAAGGATAGAAGAATAGTATGAATCGACTTCCAGGGAGAAACTCTTGTAGCCCTAGATGAAACACCTGTGTCCCAGCCATTTGCCTTTTGCCCATGAATACTTAGGACTATTTTAGCCCACGAATTACCCTTTTCCTTCGCCAGTCTCCATAACCATTTCCCCAACAAGGCTTCATTCTTCTTCTGCAAGTTACCTAAGCCAAGACCACCATCCTTTTTAGCTCTATTTACCAAATCCCGCCTAACTCTATGATCCCTTTTCTCCTCCCCAAGTTCCCATCGGAAATCTCTCATGAATTTCTCCAACACCCTACACACTCCCTCAGGAATCTTAAACACAGATAGAAAATATATCGGGAGGTTCGCCAAGGTTGTTTTAATCAATGTTATCCTACCACCCAAAGATAGATAGTTTTTCTTCCATGAAGCTAGCCTTTTTGTGAATTTCTCAATCAATGGATTCCAAAAGTCCCTTCTACTAGGATTATCCCCTAAGGGAAGTCCCAGATATTTCAGAGGCCACTATGCAATCTTGCATCCCAATATTTGGACCCTTTCTTCCACCTCTTCGGCCCTCATATTAACACCAATCACACAACTCCTATCAAAGTTGACTTTGAGGTTGGTCACATGTTCAAAGACATTAATCACCCATTTTAAGTTTCTAACCCACCTTATCTCCTCCCCTCCATAAAACAGAATCGTGTCATCCGCAAACTGTAAATGAGTGATCGGAATTCCATCCCTCCCAACTTTTCAACCACTTACCAGACCCCTAGAATCTGCCCTCTCCATAATCCTCCCCAAAACTTCAGCAACCAGGGTAAAAAGAAAGAGGGATAGGGGGTCCCCTTGCCTAATACCCCGAGTAGCAGGGAAATGGTCCACCACCTTGAGTTAGTGAAGGGATGAGAGATCCATCCCATGGACGCCCAAAGATTGCGGAATAAGGGGCGAATTTCAAAAATTTTTCTCTCCCTTCAATTGGGAATCGCATTCCCTATTTTAGAAAATCATATTTTCAAGGATCATCCTTGAACCATGAACTGAACCAGAAGGAGTAGGAGAGGATTATACCTGATACGGAGAAGTA